CAGCATCTGTGAAGAAAAATCAGAGCGAACGTTTCGGGTCCAGTGATCCTTGGGGTCACCGTACCTGCAACGTTTTCTCTGATTTTTCTTCACAGATGCTGTCAGACCTGCTGAGCTTTTCCAGTAACTTCTGTTTTTGTTCCTGATTTACTGCCAAGTTCTTTACAGACATAAAAACCCATTTATGTCAGATTTAATGTTATTAATAGGTCTGGCATCTCAGTAATTCGCACCAAAAATCCACACCAAAGAAGAATTCTTGTAATTTATCTCCAGAATTTTCAGATTCTGAATTTAAGGTTGTCTCTTTTTGTTCTTGGCTTGTGTATTAGCGAGAAAATGTGTCCTCTGTTTTCCTTACCAAGTTCTTTCAAAATCTTAAAAACTTGTAATAAATCACCCCTTAACCGTGTATGTTCCAGGGAATTATATAAGTTTCATTTATCTTTCTTTTAAATTCACTCATGGGGAATGGATGACTCTGGCTGGGCTATCATTTACTGCTAATCACCTGTTGCCCTTGAGAAGGTGGTGTGAGCTGCCTTCTTGAATCACTCAATGCAATTCTGGAGGGAATCCCAGGATTTTGACCCAGCAGCACTGAAGGAATATTTCAGAGTTACGATAGTGACTGGCTTGGAGAGGAACTTGCAAATGGTGTGTTCCCATGTATCTGCTGCCCTTATACTTCTAGATGGTAGTAGCTGTGGATTTGTAAGTTGCTGTCTAAGAAGACTTGGTGAACGTCTTTTCATAATTTAATCCATGTAGTCATGGTAATGGGCTTCACTCCGTTGTAAACACAAGAGTATTAATATCCATGAGTGAGTTCCTCATCTCATGCTGGAACTTAGACAGGGGATTGGAAAACCAGCAGCAAATCAGTGTTTCCAGCTTTTACAAGCTATCTCTAGAGGGAGTTATGCAGGTCTCTTTCCTAACTCTCAGTAGGAGACTGAGAAAACCTGTGCAGAGCTTTCAGATGCAAGTCAGGACTCTGGGCACCAAGTTCTAAATACCAAAAGCAAGTGTACTTCCGAACAGTGGTCTTTAAATCTTTTGCCTAACCACCAGGTAGACCATTTTTCTCCAAATTATTAAAACATCAGGAAAGTTCACTGGACCTGTACATAATCCCATTAGACTACCATTCATATCTCCTGCAAGATTAGACATGAATATTCTGTTAGAAAGCCACTCACATGGTACACATGGAAACCCGTTCCACTACAGTTGGACCGTACACCCATGCGCTATCCTCACATTCAACTCCAGCTAAAAAGATTGCTGGGGTGGGGGAAGGTGATGGCTGGCCAGGTGAAAAGGAACTGTCCCATAATCATTCAACAGCCAGGTTGTCACTATTGGGCTGGTGGTGAGATTTTTGTTCCTCACGAACAGGATACCCTGGCTCGGGGAGTCGCCAGCCAATTGCTCTTGCTGTACCAGTAGTGCCAATGGGAATGACAGCCATGGCTGGTACTGCACTCAGGTGATGAGCTGTGCTGCATCAGAACTTTGCATGATTTTGGAGACTGTGAAGGAGGTGGGGTTTGGTGTTTGAGAAGTCATGGAGGGACAACAATTGTGGAGAGAGTCAGGGGAGAGCTGAGAAAGAGGCCGTTCAATGGGCCAAAGGGGCCATGTACATCGGTACCCCTCCCCCGTCTTACACCAGCCTGTGCAGAGAAACCTGTCAGGCTGGCCATGTGACATGGACTTACCTTACTGCATAAATGACAACAACAAAAGGATGAGTCCCTTAATTTGGTCCATGAAAGAGATTCAATTATTCCATTGGCAAGTGGGCCACATTACATCACCTCCATCACTGAAATAATTATAGTGGGGCCACGGGTCGATGGGGGGTGGGGGGGGAAGGGGAACGCGTGGTGGGTCTGCAGTGGGCAGATCACCTTCAAATGCACTGATGGCTAAGTGTTTAATTCAGCTCAGAGCAACAGAGCAGGCATATACAACATCAGAAAAAAAATTGCAAAAAACACATGCTACTTCACTCATCGTGCAAATCACTGGAAGCTCATACTGCAGTGAAGGAGTAGAAACATCACCCACTTAGCTACACGGTGTCACATACAGGCAAAGATGGGATAAATAATCTCTGTATGTAGACTGGAAAAAAGAATGCAGTGCATCAAATCAGGACATACATTGCAACAGAACATCCAAATTTCAGTCTGTTCCAATTACTTTAAAGTAAAGTCCAATTTAGTTTGACCAAGTCAACTTAATTGATTTACAGCTCTCTACTCTTGGTCCTTTCCTCTGTATTTGGCCTTTTGGCTGACCAATTCATTTTACTACTTGGTGGGCAATGTCATGCAGTGAGCAAACATTAACTGTTGGCAAAGAAAGGAAAAATAGAAGGTAAGGGTTGATCTAAGCATTGTAGATTCCATGTATAGAGGTGCGTTGTCTCAAGACACTGAAGTCTTTATCAGCACAATGGATGAAGCAGCGTGCATGCACTCAGCAGTGTAGCAAAAAGTTAAAAGTTACATCTATTAACAATCAGTATGTAAATGAAGTACTGAGAAAGGTCAAGTACAAAGAAACCAAGCTTAGAGGCAGTTGAGTATTTATATTACCTATGGATTTGTACAAACAAATGCAATCGTTTCTTTAATGTTTTATAATAAAACTTATATACATTAACATGCGTTATTTAAACAAAATACTTGGTAAAATAACAGAACAGGGAATTTATCTCACTGCAAGGAATACCTTAGCAATGGACTATTTTAGTCCTTTCTTACATAGAATCTTCTTTATTCTAATTCCTTATTAAATATTCTCCATTAACTTTAGTAGTGCACAAGGATGCAGTATAGATAACCATGGGTAGCACATTGTCAAGATGGCCCTGATAAGAATACCCTCTACAGCAAATGGCAGTAACAGCAAAAGTTATGATTAACATGCTGATTAATGATTAGTCATGGTATAGAGCTGCAAAGTTTCCTGGAGAAGCACTGTTAATTGTGACAGTATTTTAAGCGGTTACCACATGGATATTCCATATGAAGAGGGCTTTATGATGTTTTGATTTCCTTCAGATTTATACATAATCAATCTTCTTTCCAAACACCAATCAAACAATCCACCACCTATAAATATCTAAGTTGTTATGACAGTAATTCCACTGTTCATAAATAAATTTTCAGCTTTTCTGCACTATTACAGGGAAAAAAATTCTCTTTCTTTACCATTGACTAAGTGTGATATGACTCAGCACACAACATCCTCCACACTCATCCACATACAGTGATCCCAATTTCTGGTTGCACACTAGGAAGTTGCTAATTGGAGTAAGATGTTTTCAGCATAGGAGGAAATTTGACAGTGAGCTTGTTAATAGCCAATCCATTTAAAAGGTAATTGAAACTAATTGATGAAAACTCAGGGACAGAACTTTTGTCCAAACTGAGCATGCAGGCTACCCAGAGTAGCAAAGGGAGAAAATAACGACATATGGAGTCATAAGTAGAACAAAATAATTTGCTCTGAATCGTACAAGTTCTGTGTCCATGTACATCGGAGAACAAATATCAATATTTTGAAATAGAAGAAGATATCAGAATTAATGCATCACTCTCAAAAAAATTTCAAAAACACACAATTTCACTAAAATACTTTTGTAAATAATATTCAGAGATACAAATACATCCTTTCCAGTTTTATAAACTGCCAAATACAATGCATAGATTTCCCTACCTTGGACTGTACATCAGCATTGTGATCGTTCTGTAGTAACAATGCTGCAGACTTGGTATCATCTTTTCTGGCAGCAATGTGCAGGGCTGGAAGCCGCACCTTTCCCTTGGTGTCATTCTCCAGTAGGATGGCGACGACTTGGTTGTGACCCTGTTGCAGTGCAACAGCTAGCGGGGTGAACCCATCCTGGCAAATACAGAAAATAGAACTTTACTTCAACAGATTATTGTTTGGATTGTTTACTTGAAAGTCTGATGACAGTTTTAACCAGCCGGGAAAATAAGCCCAAATCACTGTCAATTATAGCAATTAGGGTACAATGGCTGATTCATTGACTGGGTCCATATAAACGGGAACAGGTGAGTTTGATTTGGAAGTAGCTGTAGGACTGAATACTCCGGATATGAAAAGAAAGACTGTTCTAAGGTCCCAATAGTAAAGCTCCCACTTGTTAGCCAGAAGATCCAGGTTCAAGTTCCTGCTCTAGAGGTATATAATAAAATCTCTGAACAGGTTGGCTAGAAAAATATCTATAAGGCTGAGTAGTTAACGAACTCTACCCATAAAGAAAGTGGCTTGGACCTTAGTTGACCATAACAACTTGCTCTGTGAAGCTCCATTAACTTAGCAAATGTCCTAAAATGCTTCACCAGTGGAGAAACACTGAATAGTAACAAGAATATTAAGACAATTGATTTGGGGTTTTGAGCAGATCTTTGCTAATTCTCTTAATGTATTCAAAGTGAAGAGATTCCAAGAGTAAAGTGAACTCTCCCAATGATGGAGAGGTGAAGGAAGGGAAAATTGTGGGATGTATGGATCAGAAGGCTGACTGGGAAGTAGGGTTGAGATATAATTTTACAAAAGCTGGTAAAAGGATTCCGAAGTTAGTGTCATCCTGGAGTAAGTTCAATGAATCACCCTCTACTGCTCTCTGAGGAAAAAAGAAGAATTCTACTGATTAATAACCCTCAGAGAAAAAATAATCATCTCCATCTTAGATGGGAGACTTTAATCTCTTAGGTTTAGCCTGCTCTACAATAGGAAACATCCAGTGCATATCCACCCTCATAAGGCCCTTCAGGATCTTGTATATTTCAGTATCACCTCTCATCTTTGTAAGCTCCAGTGACTCATGGGCCAATCTGCTCAACCTCCTTTCATCAAGTAAGCCCTTCATCCCAGGAATGAGTTGAGCTAAATCACTTAGACTGCTGTTAATACAACTTTTCAAAGAATATCAGAATCATATTCAGTACTTAAGGTGCAGTTTCAATCAAGCTCTGTATAGTTGCAATAAAATTTCACGGTTTCTACATTCCATTCCCCTTCCAATCGTATGTTAACTCTAAAGCAGCACAGGATGCAGGCCAGACATTTCAGACAAGGACTTATGAGCAGTGGGAATTTTGGAGGCGAGCAAGGCAAGCATTTCAGAAGTCAAGCCTGAAGGCAACAAAGGCATAAATATTTCTGGAGTTCTGAGGCAGGGTGACTGGACCTGAAACATTAACTGTGCTTTCTCTATACAGTTGCTGTCAGGCCTGCAGATTTTCTCCAGAAATTTATGCTTTTGTTTCTGATTTCCAGCATCCACAGTTCTTTTTTAAGCAAAATCAAACAGGTCATATGTTGGTTAGCCAGTCTGCTACCACTGCCAAGGGTGACTTTTACTCTCACAAATTATGTTATGGTCTTACCTATAACAACAACATTGAGATTTGTCTATTTAGAATATATAGTTTGGAGAGTTTAACAGGTCAATCTGTAGATGGGTTTATTTGGTGGGTAGTGCCTGGCACATATACAAGTTCAAGGGGTGCATGGAGAACTATCGCTACCAATGGTTGATCCTGCAGTGCGATGGGGATTTGCAGAACAACATCAGCAAAGCCCAACAATGGTTAGCCTGGCTGGAGAAACTGTTTCTGTAAGGGATGGGAAGGAAGTAAGGGATAGGGATTGCTGTGGCATGGGAGAAATGAAAGGAATGGGATATGTATGGCAATGAGAGGGATAACATGAGAATGACAAGGAGTAAGAGGATGATGAAATTTGTTAAGAGTAGCAAAAAAGGTAGAGGAAGTTTTATGGTTAAACTTATTAATAGTTGTTAGCTTGTACACAATTTGAAAATTGTTGCAAAAAAGACAAATTTTGTTGAAGTTTTCCAAACCTGTCACATGTAAATATAACAAAGTTTGGCTGTTAATAGTCAATCAGAACTAATGGGTGAATTCTCGAAGTCAATTTCACACCAGAGTCCATTTGCCAATTAATCAACACTCTCCTTTCATGCAGTATAAATATTACTTTGCCCTTGAAATTGGATTCTTGCAAACTTCCCAGACGAGTGAAAGATGAAAAAGCTTCAAGAAAATATGTCTTGTTTCAGCAATAAATCTTACGTTTCAAAAGCTACTTTATGCCAAAAATGAAACTCTGCCAAATTTTAATAAATAAATTTTTGAAAAGTTGTTAGGTGAATTAAAATAATGCAGCAGTGTTGTCGATAGATGAAGAAGCTGACAACTATTTATAACCGGTTGAAATCTAAGAGACATGACAAACACAGGCTCAAGGATGTAGCAACTATCTTGTTGGCACAAAACTTGAATCCGAATCAAAGACTTAGGAATGTAACAAGATTGTATTTAAGAAGTTGTTTTATTTAAACAGAGATGCTGGAACTGTAAGACAGATTTCAAGGAAATAGTGTGTTTACTACTCAAATATTATTGAGCTCACCACATCTAAACCTGCCCTTTCAATTTCGGAGAAAATGGTTCCCAATTAGAATTTTACGTTCCACAAGAAGACAGTTTAAACACTTGACAAAGTTTGTATTTATAATCCCACACGTTTTTTGATCCGTAGATATCATTACGTGGCTGTTTCCAAAGCAGAATGTTTTTATTTTATTAAAGTTTTAAATAGATATCTCATATCAAAGAAACATCATTGAAATAACGTCTGTAATTTGACGACACATGTTTTGCAGGTCTGTGCTAGTATTATATTAAGATACTAATTATAGCTACTCTTTTTTACCATGAAAACATTTAACACTTTTATTAAAATGTACTATAATCTCCTATGTTCAAAGTGAAATGGACACAATTTATCAACTACTTCTTCATTATTGTATTTTGTAATATCAACATCTCATTGAATCCACTCTAATCACTTCACTGGCTCTGTGTTGGTGTGGAGACCAAAACTGCATATAGCTCTCCAGCTCTGGTCCATACTGGACTTTATAGAGCTATATTTAACCGTTACATCTCAGTTGTTTATACTCTTACGTCATGTCATAAAACTCACGTATCCATTAGCTTTTCTTGGTCTTTGTCATTTGATATGCAACTTTTAACATCTCCTGAGCCTGATCTCCCTAATCTATTGATTATGCCAAATTTATTTTTTGAATAATATTGAGCTTGTCACAGGTAAATCTTCCAAATCAATTCAGGAGAAAACATTTCCTAATTAGATTTTAAATTTTGTAACTATAAGAAGGTCACAAAACCAGATTCTTGGACAAAACTTATACTCATATTCCTAGGCATCAATTAACTGCTCAATATCTCACAGTCTTCCCCAAAGTATAATTCCTTTTTACTAAAATATATTATCCCGCATTTACTAACTGATTTTCATTTGTCAGTTCTTTTTGATCATTTCACCGCCTTATCTCATTTTTCAAAATCTACCCTTAACTTTGTTTTTCCTTACCACTTTTCCAATTTCACAACTGCTTTTACTTTTATCATTTTATTCCAACTACAGAACCTGCATATTTTCTTCTGCGACATTATTTTCAAGGCCTACAACAGAAACTCACCAAAGTAGACTTCATCCTTGAATCAAGGGACAGCGCCTGCCACCAATTACCTTGTTTCTAACCTCTTTATTTATTCACAGCATTATTAAAATTCAAGTAGCCACAGTTTTAATAATAAATAAGTCATTTGGAAAATTTATAACTTCCATTTTAAGTTATTCTTTTGTAGATCTCTGTGTCAATGTCCTTTTTCACTCTCACCATAGCTTATCCGTATTCTTTCTTTCTAAAACTGACTATTTTGAAATATGTTACATCTGTCCATTAGAGCCTTATTGAAATTACTCTCCAGACAATACACTGTAACATTTCATCTTCATGACATTTTAGTGTCTACATGCACTTAATACACAGCCAGAGTTCCTGCTCCTAATTGCTACCTCGTGGCTGGTATAGACTGTGTTCATGTCAAAATTAGATGATGACAGCAGTAAGTTGATGTCAGAACTAATGACACACATTGATTTACAGTTGAGGTTCAGAAATGAAAAACAGTCATTTGCATTGAACAGTAGCAGGCAGCGAATAACCACAAAACTGGTCCCAAGTGTGAACCAATACTTTCAAGAGACAAAATAATGGAGAAGAAAATAATTTAAGAATGCCTTCTGGCCCAAGGCTCTTTAAGCTTTGATGGGCTGTTTGCAATGAATAATGATCAACTCAGTTGACTATTTCAAAGAACATCTGAACAGAATTAGCGAACACAATGGATCAAGTGTCAGCTCTTCAGTTTTATGATACATGTTACGGTTATAAAATATGGTAGGGTTATGTTTCCACTTTATGCAAGACAAAATCTGTTAACAATACTGAATTGTTATATTGCAGTAATTAAGTCATAAAGCCAGAGAGATCCCCCAAGTTCCCTTAAAATTTCTGTTGGAAATCAGTCTGCTGATAGGATTATTTGCTTTCCCAGGGATGTCTGAGCACTAATAGGGGCACAGTACGAACTCTGATCTATTGTAATTCATTCATTCATTCACTCACTAACTTGATCACTGCTACCCAATATAATTCTGCCACACATCTACCACCTGACAATAGCCCACAAACTGGTAGAAACCATCCTTGCTGCACCTCACTCACCACTCCATGTTGATCTATCCTACCCACCTACCGGTTGCCTTCCCCCTCTGCTCCACACTTATTGCAACCATCCTGAGCGAGCTTCACCAGCAGACATCTTTTAGATTAAGGAATGGAAAACATATGATGCCACAACAAGTTTCTCTGACAAACACTATTGGCTGAATAGCAGGCTTTGAACTCCCATGGCAAAGAGTGGTCCCAGGTAAAGAATTTCAGAGGTATTAGGACCCCTGGTAGGCTAACCTCC